TGCTGTCTTAGGTGGTTCTGGTATTGGAATGCTGGGTGCAATGTCCAAGACTAATTGCTTCAGTTCCCCTGTCTGGGTGGGTCTATCACTGGAATGCAGAACCCAAAAGATTTCTCAAAACTACCCCTAGGTTCCAAACAGATGACACTCTTTTGTTTTGTTTTGTTTTGTTTTGTTTTAGGGGTTATATTTATTTTCCAATTATATTTATTGAACTTATAGGCAACGCAGTATCTTGATCTATTACATTCAACAACACCAAAAATCTACAACTCTGGTGTCAACAGTAATAATTACTAAAATTTGAGCAAGCAATTTATAACTATCTGCTATTAAGAAAAAATGGATTTAGGTTTGGAGCTCAGTGACTACAGTGCCTGCCACATTCCAGCCAAGCCCAGGCCTCCTTCCTAATGCCACAATGTACTTTCATTGTTAAAAAGGGGTCCTGACCCACAGGTTGAGAACTGCTGTTAAATGACAACCATAACAAAAAATAGCTGGGTGCTATGGTGGGCGCCTGTAGTCCCAGCTACTCTGGAGGCTGAGGCAAGAGAATCACTTAAGCCCAAGAGTTTGAAGTTGCTGTGAGCTGTGACAGCACAGCACTCTGTCACTGAGGGTGACAAAGTGAGACTCTGTCTCAAAAAAATTAAAAGAAGAGTTTCACTACATTTATGTCTAAACACACAGCTCAGAGCAACCTCCAACTCTTGGGCTTAGGCGATTCTCTTGCCTTAGCCTCCCGAGTAGCTGAGACTACAGGTGCCTGCCATAATGCCTGGCTATTTTTTGTTGCAGTTTGGCCGGGGCCAGCTTTGAACTTGGCACCCTCCAAGTAAATGGGGTAGGCGCCCTACTCAGTGAGCCACAGGTGCCGCCTCATGAAACTCTGTCTCAAAAAAACAAAAAGAAAGAAAGAAAAAGAAAAAATGGATTCAAAAGACAGGGAAATTTCAGTAACGATAAAATAGTATTTATGTGTGTTTAGACATAAGTAGCCAACCAACATTAATACTTCAGGCATTTTTCTAATTGTGATATTTATGCAAATTTTGAAAATTGGAAAACCCTTTGTCTTGTCACTGTTGCAGGAAGACGAGGCCCAACGGAGAGAAAGAGCACCCAAACACCATAGTTAGAAAGGGCTTTATTCATCGGCCGGGAGCTTACAGCATAGAAGATTTCCAAATGGCCATGCTCCCCAACTGGCTTGGTCTTTCCCTTTTTATTGACAGTCAAAAAGTTCCACCCCACAGGTACCCTTCCCATTGGCCAGTTTGAATCAAGTGGGAGATGCTACTCCAGCC